TTTTTGAGACCGGCTGCACCGTGCTCAGCCAGTGAGCGCTGTGAGCGCACCGGTCATCCCTATATAGGATCCGAACCCGCGGCAGGAGCGCTGCTGCACTCCCAGTGCCGCACTCTCCCGAGTGTGCCACTGGCTCGGCCCTTGAGCTCACTTTTTATAGAGAAAGGCCATCTCAAAATTCTCTGAATATATATAGTGAATTATATGACTGAACTCTTTCTCAGTTGCATGGAGTAGATCCTCTTCTGGTAAATAAATTTCATCTACTTTAAATTTATGTTCCTGTCTTCCTGGTTCTCCCTTCCCCCAATATCAATGTATAGCTCCTCCTATACTCCTTCCTTTCTGGTTAATACTCATTTTTTAAATAAAGGCAACTCTATCTGGGCTACTATTTGTTTTAGAATAGTATAGGGAGAAGCAAAGGGAAGTAAGGTGGAGTGGTAGACAGAGTCAAATTTAGATTGCTGCCTTAAACATCATCTTAATGTACTTGTTCTGTTTTCTACCAAGAGGCTTGTCTCGTTTCATTTTCATGTGCAATTCGTCATTTCACAGGCTCTTCTACTCTTGTATCTCCTCTCTACCAGAAATCTGCTATGTTTAGGAGATTTGGTTGTAGATCATAAAAATTATGGGTTTTTTCTCTTCAGCTCTACCTTCCCTGTTCTTGGCTCTTTGGAACTGGGTCTTTACTGGGTCATGAATTATTTCTCTTGTGGCTTGCCCATTTTCTTAAACCTCATCATTGTCATCAAAGAATCGTTGGAATGGACTTTCAAGATGGATGGGGTTTTAGAGATCTATGTAGCCGGTCCGAGTTTTGAGGTCTGGGGAGGCTTTTGCTTTTTGTTTTTGTTTTTGGTCATCTCTCAATATCCTCCCTTGCTCCAAAGCTTCTCAATATTTGGCAGATAATCTTCATATTTGGAGGTTTGTGGTTGTGGTCCTTTCCTTGTTTCATTGGAGACGATGTTTTCTTCTTTTGGTGCTTTTTGTTGTTTTCAAAGGGTTTTGAGGGAGGGTAGTTTGAAAAATATTCTCACTCTGCCATTTTCTAACCAAAATTCTCTCATGATCTTTTAAAAACACGAATCAGATCACATCATTTATCTGCTTAAGTCCTTTGGTGGCAGAAGATAAAAGCATTTAGAATAAACTAAAAACTCTGTGTTATGACCTGTGCAGGTATATGTGATATGGACTTGCTTACCTCACATCACTTGCTCTACTTTTCCACTTGCTCTCGCTCTTAATTTTCTTTTAGTTCTTCAATAAAACTATGTCTTTTGGTTTGTTTTATTTTACTCATTCACTTATTGATATTTTCTTTTCTCCTCTTTTCTAACACCTATTCATCTTTTAGGTCCAACTTCATACTTCCTCAGAGAAGCATTCTCTGACATCACAATGTAAATTAGACACAGTATGTTAATCTTTCTCTCTTTTGCCTGTTTTTCATATGACTAAGTAAAATTTGTCATTATGGGTTTATCTGTTAATATGTTTTTTTTAACATAGACTATAAACTCCAGGAGGGTTTGATGCTTTATAATGTTTATTGGGTGAGTGAATGAATGAATGAGTGAATTAATTAAAAAATGAATATATGATTCAGGACTTCCAAGATTAGCTGATTGGGGTTACTATCTCTTAAAACTATTGGTCTATCGAATACATTTGCATTAGTACATATATTCCCTTAGTAATAATAATAATATATAACTAACATTTATTGAGTGCTTGCTGTGCCCTCTGCATATGCTTAAAATTACACTAGTTTACTTGTTAACTACTATATACCAGGAACAATGGCAAGTAGCTTTATTAAATAGGTTTAATGCTCACACTTACTCAAAGATTTGGAAATGCAAAATTATGAAGACATGTGAAAATTGATTTTTACTTAGTGCTTATTAAACAACTCGAATATTTTACTCACAACATAAAATATACCTTCTTTTTCTCCCCAGTATCTAATACTAACTGCATCTTAGACCGTTTGGGTTGCTATAACAAAATACCATAAACTGGACAGCTTATAAACAGAAATTTATTTCTCACAGTTCTGGAGGCTGGAAATTCCAAGATAAAGGTACTGGCAGATTCAATGTCTGGCAAGGGCTTTCTGATTCATGGATGGCACCTTCTTGCTGTGTCCTCACATGGTGGAAGGGACAAGTGAACTCGTTTGGGACTCTTTTATAAGGACACTAATCCCATTCATGAGGGCTCCTAACCTAATCACCTTACAAAGGTCCCACCTCTTAATACTATTGCTTCGTGGTTAAGATTTCAAAATACGAATTTTGGGGGAACACAAACATTCAAGCCATAGCAAATTGTAATGTTAACTGCCTTTTAATGTGAATGCAATAGCATTTTCTTTTGTCATGAAGTAGTGTGACAGGGCACTAAACCAAAGTAGATATTAAAAAAATTTTTTGCCATTTACTTTTTCATTTTTAGTTCCAATGCCTCCTATCTGTTCTTATTTGAGAGACTTAAACTTAAATCAGCAGCTGCAAACTTCTGATTATAACAGGCAGGAGAACCAGAACAAATTCGCAAAGAATGTTAATTTTTCTTGACAATAATGAAAATCGATTTTTGATGAAAACTAGTGATATAATAAAGGCTGTTGAAATATTTGAACAGATCAGGAAGGAGAATGCCCTCAGCTTGAGGTTGAATAGAAACATAATTTTTCTCTCAATATTAGAAAATACATGAAAAGTTTTATCAAGTTAAGGGGTAGGAGAAAAAAATATATACTTAAAGGAAAATAATAGGCAATTTGAAATACTGAGTATCAGAAAACGGCAAAATGACCGTAATACCAATAAAGGAGAATGTGTCAAGGAGGAGTTAATATCAAATAGAATATATACTTAAAGGAAAATAATAGGCAATTTGAAATACTGAGTATCAGAAAACGGCAAAATGACCGTAATACCAATAAAGGAGAATGTGTCAAGGAGGAGTTAATATCAAATAGAATGAGAAATGAGAAAAACGCTACATAACTATTATTTTTCAACATAACTTAATCATTTCCCTCTTACGTTTTTTAATTGGAATGACCCTTTCCCTTCAATCTATTTTCCTTCTCCCCCTTTGAAACTCAACGTAAATTTTAGGTGTACCTGGCCATGCTGAAGATTAACTTATATGAAATTACATTTTTGTAGGTTAGAAAATGGTCACATATTGGCAATTACATATGGTTCAACTTGGAGTTATCCCTTTATTTTATTACATTTTGCAGTTAAGAAAAATGAGGCACATTAGGGTCATGTGACTCATTAGTGGTGAGGCTAGTATTTTAACATTGATGTATGTAATTTCAAAGCTTGTACTATTTTTTACTGCGATAATGAATGAATATTTGTTAAATGGAATATGCGTATGCTCTAAGACACCAAGAACAGTGCCATATCAACAGAGTGCTCAGTAACAATTAAATGAATGAACATATGAATGAAAGAATGTGTCCAACCATATCACAAATGAGCATTTATTCTTCCACAGCTGATTGTTAAAGTAAGTAAAAAGGACAACATAAAGTATTACATGTGGAAGTAAAGAAGTGGTTTCCTATTTCTTATTTGGTGTTTTTAAAAGTAACATTAAAGAACTCAGAGCACTTTAACAATTGATCAATTTTGCTTTCATACTTGGTTTTATAAATCATTTAACTCTATTAATGACCTCCTGGTGTGTTGCATTTGGTATAAGACAGATTTATTACTGGATATACAAGAGAGATCACATTAAAGTAGCTTAACACATTACACAGATCCTTGGTATAATTCTTTTAAAAGAGTATAAAATGACCAGAGCTTTTATTTTTCAAGCTAAGTCCTCTTTTGAAATGTGTTTGAAAAAAAACCTGTAGTTGCTGGTCTCCAAACCCTAAATTGAATTCCTCTTTCCATAGTAAAAGTAAATTTAGGTAAAAATTACCCACAAAACTACTAGTTATGGTCCCTGTAAAAACCAGATACAGTGGCAGTAACCATAAGTCATAGACTTCCTGCTGTCATTTCTGGCCAGATTAAAGAGGACACTTAAGTTTCAATTCACCCCTGCTGGTTAGGATGAGGGGATTCATGTTACTTTAAAATCATCAACAACTGGGAACTGGAAACTGAAAAAGAGTTGTTCCGGAGTAGAAATCTTATTAAGACTCATGGGAAAAGATGTGTCTACTGTCATGCCTAATGTCTTGGCATTTGTTTTCCAAGGGTCCACCTGGTCCAGCAGGTATCCCTGGTCTGTCAGGAAAAAGAGGTCCACGGGTGAGTAGATGGGCTCCATTTCCCGCTGGCTGTTAGAATTGGTAACTTTTCAATATGTTTTTTCTGTATTGTACAGTATGTACTTCCTGTGCAAACCTGCCTGGATCTTCAAACTTTTCCTCACCTTTGCCAACTCAAGAAAAGCTTAAGAACACTTGCAGCCTTGTTTATTTGAATGTAAAACACCCAGCCAAATCATTCTCTGTGAACGTGTCCAGGAAAGATTGTCAAATTTGTAGATTAGTGGTTGTTCTGGTGCTACTTGTAACATTATTCTTAGTTATAAAGTACTTTCAATAGTCCAAGGTGAGGTTCATTTGTTTTGGAAATGAAGAGGAGCATGCAGCCTTAAAATAGTGCATTCTTGGATTACATAGTGGAAAATACTAGAGCTATTGACTAGAAAAAAAATTACCCTGAGGAAAAGAGCTGCCTTAAGGATCAGCGGTAGTTTCTCACATTACACACATCCAGCCAAAGATTTATTGCTATGTTACAATCAATTCCTTCCAAACCTAAAAAAAAAAGGACTTTTACTAAAGAAAGTCTTTCTTCAATGAACTAGAAAAAGAATTGTGTGTTATAAAGACAATTGCAAATACCTTTTATATAATCTGCTTTCTTTCTATTCTGATTTTTATCATACAGTGTAAGGAAAAATCACCTTAAAATATTATTTGAGGCTGCCCATTAGCTTAGTTGGTTAGAGCATGGTGTTAACACCAAGGTCAAGGGTTCAGTTCCCCATACAGGCCAGCAGCCAAAAAAAAATTACTCCAAGTTGCCTGTATTCACACCAAACTCCATTTGAGTTTTAGTCCATTTGAGGCCTAAGGTGAATTCTCACTGGACTCTAGCTGTTGTTTAGAATTTTTTTTTTCAATATTCTTTCTCTATTGTTGAGGATCTATCACTTTCCTCCCATAGTCCTATCCTAAACCTTTCCCATTCTACTCTAACCCTCAGACCATTCCCATCTTCCTACTTCTCTGTCAGGTGACTCTGAATCCTACTTTTCTGAGGGACTAGGTCTATCTTTGCCCTAATTCTATTCCCTCTCCACTGCCAAGGTTGTTCTCCCAATAGCATGACCTTCAGGTTCTAAACCTCCATCTATTCTCATCATACAGCAGTTTCCTTCCCTAATTTCCTTTTTCATTTATTTGTGCAATCTTCCTTCCCTTAAGGAAAGAATAGTATTCTTTTCAAGGCTAATTATTTCACTTGTGTTCCTAATTTCATCCCCTTCAATCAATTATCTAACTTAAAAGTTGCGACTTCAAATTTTTTCTCCTCCTAAATTTTATCCCATTTGGCAACAACCAACAAGTTAGCCCTCTTAAAAATCCTAAACTTTCACCAATATTAATTTTTCCTAAAGTTATTTTTGTCTCACTGTTGCACTACTGAGCTTTGTGGAATAATAGTTGATACTAATTGCCCTTACTTCTATGTCAATAACTCATTCATTAATCCATATAATTTTTTTCCATCTGCTTTAATAAAATTTACTTTTTGAAGGTTACCAATGACATATGTTATGAAATTTAATCTTTTCTTCCCTCGTTTTCATTTTGCAAGACCTATCTTCAATATTCACATTTGCTGACACCTCTGTCTTTCTGAAACATTCTGCTCTATTAATTCAGAATTGGAGAGAGAGACAAAAATAATTATGAACTATATATTATGTGTCAAGATGGAAATATTGCTGAAGAGCACAGAGGTGGGATACAAAACCCAAAAGTATAGGGGTCCTAGAGACCTGTAAGGCTTTCTGAAGAAGGTTATTCCCAGTTCCTCTGTTTACTGGTTGTGTGAGCTTAAGTTTCCTCATTTGTAAAAGGGAGTAAAAATAACCACCTTACAGGATTGTTATAAGGATTAGTAAAGAGAAATATAAAGCATTATTACAGTTCCTGACACATAGTAGTTAAGTACTCAGTAAATGGAATCAATTTTTTAATTCAGATGGTATAATTTATCAGTGAAGCAAAATCAAATTGGCAAATACTCATCAAGTAGCTAATATGTGCTAAATACTACACTAGTAATATATTAAACTCTTTTCAAAGAATTTATAATCCTGTAATTAAATAGCAAATGTCATAAAGCAGATAAAATAGCAATAAAATATTTAAATAACAGATTAGAATGGTATAGTGTCCCTAGGCAATATGTATTTAATTGGCAAATGAATTTTACATGCAGTAATTTCTATAGAAGATAATAGGAGAGAGAAATTACTTTATGCTGGTATGGCCAGGATTTAAAAATAAGGTGGGATATCAGTTAAGACTTGAAGAATGAGTTGGGTAAGTGTAGTGGGCAAGATAAATGACTTCAGTCTTTAAGGCATATAGAATAGCATAAACAAAAACTCAAGCGCAGAAAGGAGTAACACATGTTGAGAGGAGAGTAAACCATTGCACTTTGTTATTTTTAGACTTCTTACTCTGCACAGTTTTTAGAAGTAGCATTAAGCAATATGCTGTGTCTGGAGATAGGGGTGATGAATAAGGGAAGTAAACACCCTGAGGCAGTGTTTTGAAGCAAAAGATAGAAACTACAGTTCTGCTCTATAATTAGTGAAGCTATCCTTTCCAAGGCTGAAATATCCAAGATCTCAGAAAAGATAAAGGAACTTTGAAAGAAAATAGTATTCATTTTAAAAAAGCTAAATAATCTAATATTTATTTGAATGTTATATTAAACAGTGATTTTGATTTGGATCTGTTCTAAGAATAATCTGACTTTCTCTCTATTTGCAGGGCATACCAGGACCACATGGAAATCCTGGGTTACCTGGATTACCAGGTCCAAAGGTAGGTGATTCCGAATGAGAATCAAATGATTTTCCTGATATTTTAAAAGAAGGTCCTTAACTTTTAAGAGCAGTCTTGGGACATCTAGGATCTGTCATCTCCAGAGCATGATTCTTCAATAGGTTTATGTTAGCCTGGCAAAGAGTTAGGTTCCTCTGAAAGTCCACCGCACTTGGATTTATATACTTAGTGATAAAGTCAGGTGCAGGCCTCCTTTTGGTATTCCAAAATCTTTATTGTCAAAATATGATGGCAGTATATGGAAACCTCTGAAATATACAGGTTATGATTTGAGAAATTTACCTTAAATTAAGGCCACTTTAAGTTGTAAATAAATAAACACCAAGGAAATAAAATATTATTTACTTCCCTGCTCCACACTTCCCTAGTATTTTCACTTGAAAAAAATCTGTGAGAATGTCTATAGGATAATGAGATTTTTATAAAAACAACCAACCTGAAAGCCTGTAAATATGACTGAACATAGTAGTATGATGGATAATAGTGCGATAGATAGTAGTATGAACATAGAAAAAAGTAGAGTACATACCAAACTGGTTACCTTGAAAGGAGGTATGGGAATGGAGAGATCACTAAATATTTCATATATACCTGTATCTCTATATATCTGTTTCAGAACAGAACCTGAGGACTCCACCCTCTTGATTTAATCACCTCCCAAAGGCACCACATCTAAATACAATCACATTGGGGATTATGTTTCAATATATGAATTTCGAAGGGACAAACATTCAGTCTATTGCGTTAAGATAAGAAGAAAAGAAAAAAGTGCATGGGGGTGATAAAAGAGGTTGGGGAACAGAATAGATAAGGATTAGGATCTTGGATGCCAGTAACCCTGTGTATAGTTTAGGGTCTCACCCCTCTGCTTATTAATGATCACACTCAGAAGCAAACACGTAAACATATAGCCTCCCAAAGGCACCACATCTAAATACAATCACATTGGGGATTATGTTTCAATATATGAATTTCGAATGGACAAACATTCAGTCTATTGCATTAATATAAGAAGAAAAGAAAAAAGTGCATGGGAGTGATAAAAGAGGTTGGGGAACAGAATAGATAAGGATTAGGATCTTGGATGCCAGTAACCCTGTGTATATTTTAGGGTCTCACCCCTCTGCTTATTAATGATCACACTCAGAAGCAAACACGTAAACATATAGGATAGGGTTAAGAACAGAGGTTTTGGAGTCTGACAGATTTGGATGCAAGTCTTAGCTCTCTCAATTTGCGTAACTAGAAGCAAGTTGCTTGCATAGGCTCTTTAAGCTTCACTTTCCTCTTCTATAAAGTGGGGAGAACCATAGTATCTCCACATAGTACTGTAGAGAAAGTTAAATAAATTAATGTGAGTGAAGCTCTTAATATGGCACTACCATTTCATAAGTAGTACCATTATATTCAATAGGTAATAATGGCATATAACTAGAATAATTTATTATTCTACGTCATTATTTATTATGCTACATCATTATTTTGAAAAATGGTAGAGAAAAATAAAGAGAAAGAATCAAGACTTCCCTAAAAAATTACCTTGCCTTTCTTATAGAATTGAACCTCTGGGTAACCAAATAGTTGATAAAGGGATGTTTCTCTTTATAGAAAAAGGTAGTAAATAAAGAATGAATGCTAGAATTAAAAATCACTATTTTTGCAATCTCAATAAAGAAAAGGTTGAAAAACAACAATCCAGTAAATACAAATGCCTTGAGGCAGAAGGCAGCTTGGCAGTTTTTGAGGAATAGCTGAATGTGGTAAGTGGTAGGAGGATGATCAGAGAGGTAGTAGGAGCCAATCATGTAGGACCTTTTAGGTAAGGATTTTGGTTGGATTTTACTCTATGTTGGATATTCACTGAAGAGTTCTAAGCAGATAAATGACATCATCTGATTTATGTTGTAGAAGGATAATTCTGGCTGTCATGTGAAGAATAGATTCAGGTGGGGGAAAGGTAGAAATAAGGACAGCAGTTAGGAGTCTACTGGCCTACCCTAGTCTATGCCATTGGAGATGAAGGCAAGGATGAGGGTGTTAGAAGAGGTGGTGAGAAATGGTAAAAATCTACATATATTCTGAATTACAGTCAGCATGATTTGCTGATGGATTACATATGTGGTGTGAAAGTGAAGAGTCAAATATAATTGTAAGGCTTGAGCCATTGAACAGCTGGTATTATGGGTGCTGCCCTCTACTGGAATGAGGAGGAACATGTTTTCAAATTTTTGTGTGTTGGTATGGTTTTAATGTTTGTCCTCTCCAAAACTCGTGTTGCAACCTAATCCCTTATGTGGCCGTATTGAGAGATGGGGCCTTTAATAGGTGATTGGGTTGTGAGAGCCCTGCCTTCATGAATGAATTAATGCATTCATGGACTAATGGATTAATGGGTTATTATGGGAGTGGGACTAGTGGCTTTACAGGAAGTGCAAGAGAGACCTGAACCAGCATGTGCAGCCCCCTTGCCATGTGATGCCTTGTGCCACCTCTGGACTCTGTTTGGGTTTTGCCTGGGAGGAAATCAAGAGTTCACTTTCATTAATATTTTTAAAGAACCAACTTTTGGCTTTGTTAATTTTCTCTGTGGAATATTGAGGTTTTTCATTGATTTCAGCTCTTCATTATTTCCTTCCTTCTAGTTATTCTGCACTTATTCTTCATTTTCTAGCTTCTTAAGGTGGAAAGTTAAATTAATGATTTTAAAACTTTCTTCTTTTCTAATAGAAGCCTTTAAAACTATGAAATTCCCTCTTAAGGACTGATTTAGCTGCATCTCACAAAATTTGACGTTGTATTTTCAAATTCATTCAGATAGAAATTTATGCTTTCTTCCTTGACCCATGGGTTACTTAGAAGTATGTTGTTTTGTTTATTATTGGTTTCTTATTTAGTTTCTTTGTGATCAGAGAGCACTTCCTGGAATAATTCAATCTTGTAAAATTTATTGAGCCATCTTATGGCCCAGCATGTGCTCCATCTTGGTAAACATTCCATATGTACTTGAAAAGATTGTGTATTTTGCAGTTGTCTGGTGAAGTGTTCTATAGACGTCAGTTAGATTGTTGTGGTTGGTGATGGTGTTAAAATTTTCTTTATATTTACTGTTTGTTTTTTGTTGTTTTTAATTTCATCTACTTCTATTAATTACAGAGAGAGATGTATTAAAATATGTAACTATGATTTTGCATTTGTTTATTTCTCCCGTTAGTTCTGTTAGTGTTTGCTTCATGTATTTTCCAGCTCTGTGCTCTGTATGTTTAAGGATTGTTGTCTTCCTTATGAACTGACACTTTTTATCATTATCAGATGTCTGACTTCATCTCTAGTAATACTGCTTCTTAAAGTCTAGTTTGTCTGATGGAAGTGGAGGCATAGTACTTTTTTAATGCTTATTGTTTGCCTGGTATAAATATTTCAATTCCTTTACCTATCTGTGTTTGATATTTAAAATGCATCTCTTATACACAACATGTAGTTGTATCTTACCCTTTTTCATCCAGTCTGATACTCTCTGACTTTTAATTGAAGTATTAAGTCCACTTGCGTTTGTATAATTATTGGTATGATTGGGTCTTGCCCTACCATGTTGCCATTTCTTTCCCATTTATCCAGTCTATTCTTTGTTCCTCTCTTCTTCCTTTTCTGCTTTCTTTTGGGTTTATCAAATATTCTTTACTATTCCATTTGATTTCTCTATTGACATTTAAGCTATATCTCTTTATCTACCTACCTACCTATATATCTATGTATGTGGTTGCTCTAGGAATTACAATATGTATCCTTAACTTATTACCATTTACTTAGAGTAAATATGGGAGCATTCATGTAAAATATAAGAACATTGTGACATTATGACTACATTTACTCACCATGCCCATCTTTTGTGCTTTGTTGTCATTTATTTTACATCTATATCATTGTAAATCCCACAGTACAATGTTATAATTTTTGCATTACATAATCAGTCTTTTAAAGAAATTGAGAGGAAAAAAACCACAATTAACAGAAGAAAAAAAAGGTGGGGAGAGTTATTCATATTTCCTCATCTATTTCCATTTCCAGTGCTCTTTATTCTTCACTAGAGTCCTTGGTTTCTGCTGTGTGTCACTGCTTGTTAGCTGGTAGAAGTTTCTTCTACATTTGTAATGAAGTTCTGCTGGTGATGAATTCTCTTGGTTTTTATTTGCCTGAAATGTATTTTGTTGTCTACATTCTTTGTAGGATATAGAGTATAAAAATCTGAGTTGAGAGTATTTTTCTTTCAGCACTTTACACCTATTGTTCATCTTTTGGTTTATGTTGTATCTGCTGAGAAGTTAGCCATCGTTACCTGAATGTAATATGTCATTTTTCACTGGTTGCTTTTGTGAATCTTCTGTTTGTCATTGTTTTTCAGCAGTTTGACTATAATGTATGTAGGGGTGGTTTCCTTTAGATATTTCTTGTTTTGGATTCACTAAATGTCTTGGACATATAAGATGTTTTATTCCAACAAATTTGGGAGATTTCTGGCCATTATTTCTTCAGATAATATTTCTATCCCATTCTTTCTTTCCTCTCCTTCTGGGATGCTAATTACATGTTTGTTAGACTATTTAATATTGTCCCACAGGCCATTGAATCCTGTTCATTTTTGCCAAGTTTTTCCTTTCTCTGTGTTAGATTAGGTAATTTTTTATGGATTTGCCCTTAAATTCACTAATCCTTTCTTCTGTCTTCTCCAAAATGCCCTTAATCTCATCCAGT